GAGACTGAAGCTGACCAAAAAGCAACCAGATTTTACAAAGTTGTGCAAAGAAAATCGTGCACATTTGTCGCATTAAAATTAAATAACCTTATGTTATTTTCATTATTATTAGAATAGTATTTTAAAGATAATAAATGTAAAAAAACTTATTTTATTTATCACTAGCTGTCTATCACTATCCACAGCTTCTCCGGCATTATATCGAATTTTCTCGTGGGAGTAAGATATTTTCTCGCAGTAAAATGTAACCTATGTCCATCTCCAACATGTAAGCTATCTCTGTGCTAAATTTTATTAAAACCTGTTTAGCGGTTTAGACGTGAAAAAATAACAGAAAGACAGAGAGAATTACCTTCTAATTTATAATATTAGTATAGATTAATATGAATTTCTGCCATATGGGGCGAATTTGAGCTCTTTCTTGAAGTGGTACGCAGGAAAAACTAATTGGGAAACACTGCTCTAGAATATAACATTCCTGGATATGCACTCAGACTAGAACTTAACAGATTCAAATTAACTCCCTTCTTTGTAAAAAAGGTTCATCAATTTTCTTTTCAAGATTAGAGATAATGGAAATTTACCTTCTAAATTATTGTTCTTGATATATCAAAAATCTTGTCAAAATCTGCAAAAAAGTTCTTGGTGAACCAAATTACAAATATTGTCAATGACTTTGGAGTTTCTATAACTCCACTGCTGGTAAAATCAGAAATTAGTGACCAGATTAAACTCAACCAATTCAAAATAAATTGGAAATTGCTCTATCTCAAGACATTAAAGAAATGTACAACCGGAAAGAACCAGAGTGGTACAGCATTATTCTGAATTATCCTTTTAATAATAACTACATGTTATCAAATGTACCATTTGTAATCAAAAAATTCTATAACCAACTTAAATTAAATAAAAAGATGATAATGGTAAATAATAAACTTTATGAATTCTTGAAAACATACTGTCCAAGATGTAAAGAAATATTGACTAAATTTCATATGTTCTGTGAATGCAAGGAAGGCCAGAAACTAAGAATTAATGGTAAACTAAATTAGCTAAATACCTTTAAGGAGGAAAATCAAATATATCGGTTATTTCATTTAGCAAACACTACAATGATATACCAATTGTATAATTTTGCAAAAAGTTTTTTGTAATCAGCCTTTCTAATTTTTTTTTGTAACAAACCTGATATGCATAGGTATTGTATTTACAGGACACTTAGTTTTATATGATTATCGTTAATGTCGATATAAGTAAATTTGATATAATGTAAATTTAACACCCTGTTATAACAGGCTATGCCTATTAATGTTTAATAAATTTGATTTGATTAGATAATTAAATGCTAAACCATGAATTTTAATAATTCAGTGTTACATACATAGAACTAAAAGATAGAAAATAAAATACATTAAAAAAAGTTTTAAAGAAAAGCTTTTTATGGAAATCTTGCTAGCTGTTGTTATTCAGTCTGTCATGCCACCTTCCTGTTGTTTTTACTACTGAAAAGGTACTGTACTCATTACAATGAAGGCTGACTGGACCCAGAGCAGAATTTAATATTTTGTTGCTTACTCCAGGCAATTGAATCCCAGCTATCTGCTTCTGAAGTCAGTTTACACTCATATGATATCTTATATACACAAAATCTAGTCCTGCTAATGGGGTCTATGGATACTACTATATATGGGATAGGGATGGAAAAGAAACTATTAGTGAAGAGGTAAAATAGCATCTTTACATTTAAAGTTCTTTATTGCATTCAAATTTTACAAATGTCAGTGCAAACAAGTATATACAAATTGTAGCTCATTTTAAACATCACTGATGATCCAAGTTAATTAAATAGACACCCACATCTACCAAAACCCATTTGCTAAGCATCGGGTTTCAGTAGTTGTTTATATTTGTACAAGTTAATTAACAAACAAAAGTACTACATAATGCTTTACTAAATATTTATTTACAAATAGTAATCAAAACTCTAAGCAAATGTAGATTCTGGTAATGAAATTTGACATAATACATTTATTGATTTTTGATCATTAATATTTTTTATGTGAGTTTAACGTGTGTAAAATTCCATTTCAGTTTCTGATTTGGCTGCAAAATTTGGTTTCAGTCAAACCTTACCTGTCTGTGAAAAATGTAATAATACCAGATCTGGTACCCAAAGCTAAGTATTGATGTTGGACCAAAAGTATCAAATACAAAAAGTACTCGGTATCAAAGGAAAGTATCAATATGGTATTAGTATATGCAGTATCAGGACCATCCCTAGTCACAATACTGTAAATACCAAGAATATTGTGAAAGTTAAAGAAAATTTATTTTTTACTTTTTAGTGCATTTATGTGAATAAAATGCATTTCTTTAAAACTTTTTTTATATTTTTTATTTTCATTTGTGTTAGTTTTTTTGCCAAATTAGATAATGAAAGTTAAAGCCACTTCTGAAAAGTTATCATTATTTGGGAAAAAACTACCAGTGTCTTAATTCCTGCATTTTAACAAACATGTCAATTTAAAGATCCTAACATTATGTCACATTTTTGTAACCACCTCAATCCTCAAAATGCAAAATAATTATATGCACACCTGCATATAATTATACACACCTGCCCACCCAAATCTGCATTACATAATTTATGGACAGTACTATATGACGCCCTAAAATAATACAATAAAATAGAAACAAAAACTGAACTACAGTATATATAAAAAGCAAGAAACATCAAAAGATGCACAAGTATAAAAGTATAATATTTAAGGATAAAACATTATACAAAACGTAAAAATAAAAACACAATAAGTATGAAAAATACTATTTAAAATTATATAATAATGTTTACAGTAGGATTTAAAATGTCTAAAATTATAAAATAAAAGTGTTTAAATATAAAAACTGCCTTTATAGCACAATAAAAAAAACATATCTTGATAAATATAACAAAAAACTGATACAAACAAGCAAATTCACATAGTTCTTGGGGAAACTCAAGTAAGAATATTATATGGTATGAGTAATTCATGTGGTGTACAGTTTCAGAGAGTCTTTACCTATTGGTGACAACTTTCTGAAAATGCTTACCACAATCCATTAAAATACTTAGAAAATAATAACTGATCAAATTATTAATACATAAAATCAATAGTTAAAATATATCTTTTTTTATTATTATTTTATGCAGATGAATTAAAATTATTAATAATAAGACATTTTCATCAAATATAAATAAGAAAAATTAAGTGAAGTTTATAATAAAAATTCAAATGTATTATTTAAAAAACTTTCATTAAAATTCATATGAAAGTTATTGTATAGTAAAATACAAAAAGCAAAATAGAGATAAAGTAAATATCACTAACTGCAATTCTATTTGACTGTTTTTATTTCTTCAGTTAGTGATCAATTTTGTAAACATGTTTTTTAATTTTTTGAATATACAGTGCATTATTTTAATATATATATATAATAAATAAATGCATCTTGTTATTATTATTTACATTTTGAAATAGTGCATCTTTACAATATATTTTTTAAATAAGAAATTTTTTGAAGAAATAGAATGAAAATTTTTATTTCTTTATTATAAAAAAATTTCCCTTAATGAAAAAGTTTATGTTTATACAGTCAAACCTGTCTAACATGGAAACANATAATAATGATAATTTATAGTATTATTTGTTTTATTGTAATCAATGTAATGTAATTGGTCAGTAATTAATCAATGTAAATATTTCTTTATTTCTTATGTTTTATCATATAAGATATGAAGTTTGTCATTCAATACCATTTCATAAATAAATATATTTCAACTCTGATTTTGATGTCATTAAAAACAAATTTTAAACTCCAGTTTAAAGATTCTTAATCTAACAAAAAATGGGGCCCCATTGGACTTCAATATATCCTAGGCCCCAAAAAACCTAACTCTGCCCCTGCTGATGATGTGTTCTACATGCAGTTTGTTTTTTTTTTTTTCACTTATGAATACAACAAACTGAATAACTGAGTATAATTTTGTCTGATGAAGGTAAGCAGCTGTAAGATTTTATTTTATTTTTAAATTGGTTATTCATTTTTATCTTAGATAACATTTTTACGGATGAATGAAAAAATTAAGGTTAAAATAAAAATATTTGTTATTAACGGAAAGATTGTTCTAGCGAGCAATGATTGTTCAGTTGAATACAGAGGTACCACTGTATTTGATTAACACAATTTTGATATATTCAATAACATCAAGAAATTTATTAATCCCATTAATCAAGGGATACCTATAGTAAGTAACCTGTATATAGTGAAAACCTGTCTACCATGAAAGAGTTGTTCGGTCCCTTGGGGCTCCATTATAGACAGATTTGACTGTATTTTAAAGAAAAAATTTACAATACATACCTTTTTTAGCCCTTAATGCTTGTTCATTTAAATCAACCTGTTCATTCATTGAAGTTTCTGCATGAAAAGTTCTAACTGGAAGACCAGTACTAGTGATGGAAAAATTGGGATTCATTTGCTGTAATTTTTCATTTGTTTGTTGAAAAGAACTGCTTTCTGAAAAATATGTCTCTGATAAATTCTTTCTTTCTTTCTTAAAATAATTCCTTTGTTCTTCTTCCATGTATGTATTATTGTTATAAGATGAAAAATATTGACTGGATGCACAGATTGTGGGAGGTAATTGTGACAGTTGTAAGCTATTATAAAAAGGAAATGGATAGAACCATTTGTTTACAAAATCAAAGTTACTTAACTGTACAGCATCTTGACATCCTTTATTAAGAGATGAATAAGAATTTGTACAATATTTTTGAGGTTGACATTTATTGGTTCCCTTTTGTAATCTTATCAGATTATTCATTGAAATCACTTTCTTGATTGATGATAACTGCATTTTTTTAAAAAGCAAGAAATATAGTTAAAAAAATGATTAAAATAAATAATTATTCTTCAAATAAAGAAATTTCCAAATGATGTTATCAAATAATTTTCATTCTGATCCAACAAAATGAATATATCAAGCTTTTGTTCAATATTTTAAAATTTAATTAAGCATTATTTTATAAAGTTATTAAAACAAAAGATTTACCACAAATATAACTGTACATGTTGTTTAATTTGAACAGAAAACGTCAAGAATCGCATCATTATGATGTTTCAGATTACTGAAAAAAAATTAATATAAATTATAATAATTGTTTTTAGTCAGAAACATATTAACATGTTTAAATAGTGTTGAATATTTGAATTATTAAATATAAATAAAAATTACAAAATTTATTTGTTACAATGTCATCTATAAAGTTTTTTGAAATATAAAAATTCATTAACTATAATTATATTAATCAATAAATAATTAAGTAAATTATGACTGTAATAAATTAATGTAAAATTTATTATTTTGAAATTATTTCACAAAACTGACAGAAAATTAAAATTTAGCAAAGTTGTTAAGAGAACATAATTATTATAAGCAGAAAGAACATTAGCATAAGTGTTCATGCTGAAAAATGTTTCTTAAACATAAATCTTAAAATTTTTAGTTATATTAAATTTAAATATGCTAAAACAACAATACAGCCTACCAAACAGATACATAAGACTCTGGACAAAGAATCCTTACATACATATTGTGACGACAGCTTTGGTAATAAATCCAAAAGTCACCACCAGGAGGAACTCTGAACTGAACAGACCTGGCAACCTGACCTATGACCTCACACTTTAAATTCGGACCTCACTCTAAGTGCATGTGTTCTCGCTTCCGTGCTCGACTTGTACAATCGCACCATATCTCATGTATATAATAAATTTAAGTTTTTTGTATGTAGCTTTGTTGGTGACCCGAACATGATATATGATTTATGGTGCCTGTACCCAATAAAGGACTCTACAGTACAACATGAAAACTCCATCCATTCGCATCGGATACAAACATTGGACTTTCATCTCTTTTGGAACTGCCAACTTATACACCTAGACCTTCAAAAAGTGTAACCACGGATATTTTTCGTCGATGGTCGACTGTTCAACAGAAAGGTATTGTACATCAAGTGCCATCCTTCTGTGTTCTCATGCCATGTGCCATCCTTTGTTCTCTCGCCACATGCCTTTATGTGCCATCATTCTTTGTCCTTTCTCCACTTTGCTGAACTGGGTGCACAATGCATCATTTACGGATAACTGTCTCCGCGCTGCCACAACTATGCAAAAAAATCATGGCTGATGCAGAAAATAATGACAATCACCGTCACATAGCACACATTGCAAGCAGACCCCCACCTTTCTGGAAGAGCAACCCTAGCTCAGCTAGAAGCACAATTTTCCATAACTAACTTAACCGTCGACAACATGAAATTTAAACATGTTGTTGCTGCAGTAGAGCCGGAAATTTTAAATTCAGTGCAGGACCTAATCCTCAACCTGCCCGACCAGAATAAATTTTTGACACTAAAGGCTCATCTCATTGACATCTATTCGGAGAGCAAGACCTCCAAAATCAGAACGCTTCTTGAAGGGTTAGAGCTGGGAGACCAACATCCATCCTTCCTATTAACATGGATGCATGACTTGGCAGTAACCATTTCAGCAAAGACCTTTTACAATCTCTCTGGCTGTCGAGATTACCCCACAACATACAGGCCATTTTAGCCGCATCCAAGGAAAAACTCCAACAACAGGCCGCCATGGCCAACAAGATAATGGAATTAGTCTCCCCCACACACATTCAAACAGTTGAACATGACTTGCCACTATCTCCATCCTGAAGAACAAAGTTGCAGAATTAGTCCAACAGGTCAAGAACCTCACTACATCCATCAACAACCTGTGCCGCTCCTTCAGATGCTCTGAATATCCCTCCAACAACAGGAGGTGCCGCAGCAAATTGCGGCAGAATCAACAGCACAGCAGTCCCAACAATGGCATGTATTACTATCACGCTACCTTTGGAGCGCAGGCGAAAAAATGCAAAGCCCCTTGATCCTTTTGGCTGGCAAAAAACTGACTAGGTGGGCGCTCATGGCCAGAAGCCTCACCTGCCACATCGATCGAATCACCATGGCCGACCCTACTACGAAATATAAATTCTTAATCAACACAGGCACCGACAACTCAGTCATTCCAAAAAGTTCCAACACACATTTATGCAAACCTGAAAAGCTAGTCCTCTTTGCAGCAAACAGAACACCTATTTCAACTTACAGAACAAAGTTATTAACACTCAATTTTAACTTAAAGCGGAGTTTTTTGTGGCCATTTGTAATCGCTGACGTAACCCAACCCATCATAGGAATCGACTTCTTAACTAAATTCAACCTACTGGTGGACGTTAAAAACAATCGACTAATTGATAGAGTCACGAACTTAAGTCTCCTGGTTGCTGGCAGAACTGACCTACAACTGTCATTAACATTACTGCTGTAACTAATGACTCTCCCTACCACCAAATTTTGGCTGAGTTCACTACCATTACAAATCCATCGATAACTCCCGAAACCAAGAAACGCCAACCACCTTCTATCACATCGAGACTAAAGGACCACCTGTCTTCTCGAAACCCAGACGTTACCACTAGATACACTCCGAGCAGCATGTGAAGAATTTCAATTCTTAATGTCTGAAGGCATCATCAGACCATCCAAAAGCCCCTGGGCCAGCCCACTACACATGGTCAAAAAGGCAAATGGCCAGTGGCGACCATGCGACGATTACCACCATATTAATGCTATAACCGTCCCCGATCGCTACCCTGTTCCTCATATACAGGACTGCACTCAACTCCTCGAAGGCAAAATCATTTTTTCCACACTGGACCTAACCCATGCCTATCACCAAATACCGATCTTCCCCGAGGACATTCCAAAAACAGCTATAACAACCCCGTTTGGCTTGTTTGAATACGTCTATATGCCTTTCAGCATATGAAACGCTGGTCAAACTTTCCAGCAGTATATCCACCAAGTCCTACTTGGCCTCGACTTCTGCATCCCCTATTTCGACAATATATTGGTCACGTCCAAGGATGCAGACAAACACATGGACTATCTCTGCCAAACATTCCTCTGCTTGCCACAGCCTAAAATTAAACTCATCCAAGTGCATCCTCGGAAAATCAGCAGTTCCATTTCTCGGCTGCATGATTACATCATGAGTAAAACCTTTGCCATCAAAAACCAAGGCCATCAACAATTTTCCTCAACCAAAAACTGTAGTCGAGCTCCATCGCTTCTTAGCCATGCTCAATTTTTATAGACATTTTTTGTCAAATGCAGCCCACACTCAGGCCACACTACTCGAGTTTCTCAAGGATTCCAAGAAAAATGATAAATGCATCATCTCCTGGAACGAATCTGCTCTAAAGTCCTTCAATCAATGTAAAGCAGATCTCATCTAATGTCACCATTGGCACTGTACTCCAAACCCACACTGCTGAAAGAACTCGTCCACTACCCTTCTTTTCATGGAAGCTAACGCCTACCGAAATAAAGTACAGTACCTATGACAGGGAGCTGCAAGCTATTGATATATACTCTGCAATCAAACACTTCCACCTAACCATCAGAGATTGAAACATCTTCTCACCTTCACGTTTCGCCAAAAACAGGAAACTTGCTCCCCACATCAGCTGCAACATCTTGATTACATTACGCAGTTCAGCACCAACATCAGGCACGTCACTGGCTTGAACAATATTGTAGCAGACGCCCTCTCTCTCGGATCAACAAGATTCGACTTTCCCCCTCTCTCTCGGATCAACAAGATTCGACTTTCCTTGACAGACTTTACTGCCATAGCGGAAGCTCAAGCAAATGACGACGAGCTAACCGCATTCCTCACAAACAATAAAACATCACTCACGCTACAGCCACTATGAATCAGCCTGTCACTACAACTATATTGTGACACAAAGGACAGCAAGGTTCACCCATATATACCTCTCCAATTTCACTGTCAAATCTTCTCTTCCATGCACAATTTGGCCCATCCAGGAATTCATGCTACAAGGTGTCTAGTCCAAAAACGTTTTGTGTGGCCTTCGATGCAGAAGGACATTGCCATTCCTGCATAAACTGCCAATGGTCTAAAGAGAATTGGCACACCAACAGCCCTCTTAAGAGATTTAACCTTCCATCCAATCGGTTTTCACATGTGCATCTCGACCTTGTCGGACCATTTCCACCGTCAGATGGATCTACCTACCTTCTCACCTGCATAGATAGATTCACGAGGTGGCTGGAAGCTGTTCCCCTCCACGACATCTCTGCTGAAACAGTCGCTTGCACTTTTATCTCTCATTGGATCTCCAGATTCAGTGTTCCCTCCATCATCACCACCGATCAAGGCCAACAATTCCAATCTCATCTGTTCGCCTCAGTGACAGCTATGTTGGGCATCCAACACATATGTACAACACCATACCATCCATCAGCTAATGGTTTAGTTGAACGATTCCATTGTTCTCTAAAACAAGCTCTCAGATGTTGCAAACGACACTGGACGGAATCTCTCCCAATCATCCTTCTCGGCCTTCGATCAGCATTAAAAGAAGACATCAATGGTACTTGTGCCGAGTACAGCACAAGTACCATTGCTGGGAGACAAGTACCATTGCCAGGAGACGAAGGAATGTGCAGGTACAGCACAACCCTTTGTCTCCCGGCAGAGTTCTTTCACCCTTCACAGAAACCACCAGCAGATCCATCATCCTTCCTCCATCACCTAAGATCCACAATGCAGTTGCTTATACTGACTCCAACATCTGCACATGTAAAACCTTCACACTTTGTTCATCCAGCACTCGACACCTGCTCCCTTTGTGCAGAGAGAAGGTCATAGAATATCTCTGACCTCCCTTTACGATGGCTCCTTCCCTGTTACCTTGTGGACACCCAAGCACTTCACGATCCTAGTCAACAGAAAAACAACAATGGTTAACATCGACTGACTGAAGCAAGCATTTCTGGACAGTGAGAATGCCAGCACATCATCAAACTCCTACAGGACAACATGTCCAGACCTCCCAGAGCGACCAACAATAAACACTACTAATAACTCCGTGCCCACCAATATGACGACGACACAATCTGGAAGAAGAGTTAGGTTCAACGCTCGATACCTCTAACTTCATACCTACAGTACTGGGGGGAGAGCACTGTGGCGACAGCTTTGGTAATAAATCCAAAAGTCGCCACCAGGAAGAACTCTGAACTGAACAGACCTGGCAAGCTGACCTATGATCTCACACTTTGGATTCGGTCCTCACTCTAAATGCATGTGTTCTCGCTTTCGTGCTCGACTTGTATGATCGCGCCATATCTCATGTATATAATAAATTTAAGTTTTTTGTATGTAGCCTTGTTTGTGTATAGTATCAATAATTAATTAAGCACGAATGAGAGCCACACATATGAATACACTAATTATCATTACCTGAACACTGAAAGAAAATGTTTATCTATTTCAAGTGTAGATGAGAACAACCTTTCAATAGAAAAGGATCATCTGACATTGTTTTGAGATGAAATTAGGCCTAAAATCAAATTTTATTTAAGTTCTACATTTGTAAAGAAAACATGAATATTATGAATGTGGATAACAAATCTTCAAATTTATAACTTATATCCTTATGACTTTTGTTCACTGGACATGTGGACTTCTTGTATATTAGTTATGACATAAATACATTTAAAGATCTTGAAAGTATACAGACCATAGAAAAAAATATCACAGAGGGTTGCATTAGTCAAGGTGCCTCAAGCCATGCTTAATTTAAAATAATAAAAAACTTACAGTTATAAGAGTTTAATAAAAAAGAACACTATATATCATTTTATAGATCCTTTCCCTTTGAAGCAAATTAAAACACGACTTTTGAAATCTATAAATATACAAAAATTATATGAAGATTTATAATTACAAACAAAACTGAATTTAGAATTCTGCATTTGGTTCACAGTCTGATCTACTGAGAAATGAACAGTGATTTTTAAATCACTGTTCATTTCTCAGTAGATCAAATAAATAAAAATCAATAATTAAAGCCATTAATTATGCAATTGTTTGGTTTATTATTAAAGCCATTGCTATTATGTCATCACAACAATATAAAATAAAAGAAACTCAAATATTACAATTGTAACATTTTAAGTTTCTTTTATTTAAAAAATTGTTGTTTATACTATACAAACCAATTTCAATAAGTTTTTAAATGTCATAATATATTATCTTACAAAATACTAGATAACACAACAATTAAAATACAACAACAACCCAAATCCAGAATAAAAAGAAATTTTTTTTTAAAACAACCATTATTAGGTTACAAACAATATTCAAAAGCAGATGCTTTAAACTACCAAAAATGTTTGTTTTAAATTAAAATTTCTTATTTTTGTGTTGGATTTTTGGTTCTGGTACTTTAACATCAAATATATGTATAAAAAGACTGACAGAGTTGTGAAGTTGTTACTTCATAGAAAGAAGATACTGTACACACCTTAAACACATTTCCAGCAATTAAATTTAATCAAAACAAACCTTTTCAGCCTGCTTGGTAAGCCTTCATCATATTACAGAATCATATACAGTGGGTGATCGGTTAACGAACATAATCCGTTCCAAGACTTTGTTCATTAAATGATTATCGATTTACCATAGGTTTTTATAGAAATTTGATTAATTCATTCCAGAGACTCCAAAAATAAGAAATATATACTTTTTTACTACATTTATTTATATGTAATAGTAAAAATACATATATATGCAGTCTTGCATTTGTTTTTTCTGTTTGTGGGGGTTAAAGAATCTGTCCATAACAATTGCTTTTTTCTTTTCTTCAGGATTTTTCGGAAGTAATTAATAGTATTGTAATTGTAAAGATCCCCAACCCCATTAACCTTATTCTGGTTTGGATGCCATTTGGATAACCGTTGTTCTGACATCCTCCCACTTCTTCAAAAGATCTTGAGCAGCAGATGTCGACATTGGTCCTTTTTCGTCTTCCTCTTTTTCAAAAGAAAACACATCTTGCTGAGTTTCTTGATATTCTTCATTTAAGAGTTCTTGGAGTTCTTCTGTTGTCAGATCATTTCAGGTTCCATTATGAGCTTTTCAATGCTTTTTATTTCTCAGATGTGATTTTCATTACTCCATTAGCGACTTGAGACTTCTTGATATATCTTTCATTGCTAAGATTGTGCCTACTGTAGATCTGTTCAAGCCATACTGCCTAGCAACATCAAACATCTTATGCCCACTTTCTACCTTGGCTATTATCTCTTACTTGGTTTCTATGGTGAGCACAGTTCTTGACACTCCACTGTTTTTAGACTCCATAATATTATCAGTTTCTTTTTTAAATAACAAGTTCAGAAAAGCACTTACAAAAATTCAGAGAACAGAAATCAACTAGCCCACAAAAAATTATTTAAATGCAAGGCCTGGATGAAATTTGGTATTAAAACGTTAACGAATATCTGATGGGACAGTTAAACTTTCACCTTTCGTAAATAAACCCTGACGCAAAACTTAACAACCGCCTGTCCAACAGTCTTGTGAAAACTATAAAAAATTATTTGTCAGAAAGGTAAACAAAAAGCTGGAATTACAAGGGAGAGTTTCAAAATTCAGAGGAATATTAATACTATCTGATCGGTATTGGGTTGAGTGTCGATGTTGATGTCTCCCATGCTTCAAAAGGTTTCAAATTGTTACCTGAAAGACAAGGGAAAATCAATCAATAAATTGTTTGTGCCTTCTCAGCTTATACCAGTCTTTCATCTTGAAAAAAGGCAAAGCCTTATATAGTGCACTCTTTAGGTTATAATGATTTTTTAGACTTTAAAAACTTTAGTGAGAACCTTAGAGTGCATTCTATCCAAACTAACAATGAAGGAAAAGCTTTTAAATGGACAGACATTGTTGAATTCAATGTAACTAACGGATGTTTAGTCAGAGAAACATAGGAACAAGGGGAGAGACGACCTCCAGCCGTTTGACCCCTGGCCTAACAATTTTGCACTGACTCGAAGGGGAGAGACGCTGCTGGCCTGCCTTTGGATGGAACAACACCTTTAAACGCATTCCTTCACTCACGGGGCTTACTTCCCACCCCAGACTGCCCTCATTGCAGGGAAGCAGAGACACCAGGTCAGTTTTATTTATATTGCTCATGTATGTGGAGGCCTGATGAGAGCTGGGTCGTAGTCTAGCACTAAATATCAGCTGTCCCCAATTTATTGGCCAAAAGCTGATACTCATCCTAAGAAACATCTGAATACTCTCAAACGATATATTTTATGAACAGACCGATCTACTTAGGTATATGGCGACGCTAGTTGGAGAAAAAGCAAACTAGGGCTATAATCTCCATATAAACCCGGAGGAGGAGAAGTGAAGTGAATTCAATGTAAGGAAGAATGAATTAGGTAAAATATTTTAAAAATAAGCCACATTGATCACAACTACAATATTGTTGATTTTAAAACAGAAAAATGCCCTACTGTTGACAAAACAACTTAATAACTTAAATAAGAGATCTTGTCCATTGTCATAAGAAAAGTACAGCAACCTAATCACTCTTTGCTCTGGATCAACACCAGTAATAAATTTGCCTGAACATGCCCAGTTTTATAAATCTTTGCCTCATTTGGTAAAGTAAAAAACAAAAAAGGAAAGTGTTGTTACATATAGTTTGGTTTCTTCTCTTGTCAAAAAGGTTCCATTCATTTTTATTTTCATCTTCATTTAAGAAATATTATATTATTACATTTTAAGTGATATACCAGTAAGCAGGTGACCTATTTCACCACTTAGCATTTTTCAGTTTCTGATTTATATTAATGGGTTTAAACAAAATTTTTGAATTGCATTTTTGTTTTTCCAAAGTATTTTTTTTTTAACTCACTTTTGTATCTCGTGTGTTTTCTTGTTAAATAGTTTATCCTTATATCAATTTACTCGTATTTTTGTGCTTATTGTTGATTTTACATTTGTCATTAAAAACTCTTCAATATAATAATGTCTCTTTTCATTTTGTTTTTATTGCATACAAAACATTTCATTTTTGATAGTAATCAGTTGATTTGGTTACTTTGAGCCAAATTTTAATATTATACTGTAGTTATATCTTAATTCTATGGCATATCTCAAAATAAGGCTCCAAAATAATGATAACAATGAAGTCAGCAATGAACTTACGCATTTATAACATTTACCAAGTAATTTACATGAAAACATGAAAAAAGCAGTGCTATATACTCAATAGTTTCTTATTTATGAAGAAAATAAGTGAGTCCTTTTTTTAAAATTGCTCTCCTGTAAACTTGAAAGAAATGAGAAATGCCCTTACATATTTTCAATGATAATATGATCTGCTCTATTATTTCATTAAAAGATTAGTAATTAATATTGGTTTCATAACACAAAATTGACAGATTACATTACATAATTAATATTTCCAGATTTTACTTCTTTTTGACTATTCCTTACAGATATTTTTATAATATAAAATATCTGAAAAATTCAGAATGTAAGTAAGAAACTTGTAATTTTGTTTTTTATTAACCACTTCAAAAATGATTCAGAATAAGAGTATTAATTCTTTTATTCTTCTTGATCATCAAGTAATCGACTACAATAGATATTTTTAAAAAATGCAAAGATTGCTTTATTTAATACAGTAGAACACCAATTACCTGAATTTAATCATCCTGCAGATTATTTGGATAATCAAAAATTTGCATGAATGAATTAATATGTAAAAAATGAAATTACAGGCTAACATCATAGTATTGTACATATATTGTATTTATTTATTTATTAATGTGCAAGTGGCATCCTACTGATCATTTGGATCAGTCATAGTACATAGGCATCACTGATCATGCAGTCACATGACATAAGAGAATTACAGGTAACCCCTGTATAACACGGTAGTACCGTTCCAAAAAATTGCCATGTTATACGAAACAAAGAACTAGTACGAAAAGGAGGGTTAGGTTCCAAAAATTAAAAAACATGCTATTATATTTTCATAATTAAGATAAATATTTTTATTAAAATTTTCTTAAGTGATACAAAGCCTTATATAGTGCACTCTTTAGGTTATAATGATTTTTTAGACTTTAAAAACTTTAGTGAGAACCTTAGAGTGCATTCTATCCAAACTAACAATGAAGGAAAAGCTTTTAAATGGACAGACATTGTTGAATTCAATGTAACTAACGGATGTTTAGTCAGAGAAACATAGGAANATATAAATTAAACAATGTTTTCTTCGTCATCACTAAAAGCACTATTAACCGAGAGCGTTTTCTTTTTGGCAAGTTATCATTATCCTCTGAGCATTTTTCTGCATTATCTTCAGATCCATGCTCTACCTTTTGCAAAAAGTATGTAATTTTAGATTGCTTGCTTCTAGTTAAAAGGTCTTTATAATTTTCCTTATATGATGCTAAGCACTTATGAAGAATAAAGAAAGTATGGAATAAGGGAAAAACATCTGGCAACATCAGAAGCATCGAGATCTGCAACATTGAAACAATTTTTGAGAAGGACCACGTGCATCAACAGAAGGTGAGAAAAGAAAATTTACATACTTAAGTAATAATAGTTTACGAAAATTATTATTTTCATGAACTATTATTACTTAAGTATGTAAAAATTTATTACATTTTACGTTGTACGAGGGTTTTTCCCAATTTCTGAACCGTGTCAGAGTGAATCCGTGCTATAACAGTACCGTGTTATACGGGAATGGTACCAATTCTCGAACCGTGTTAGAGTGAATCTGTGCTATAGAAGTGCCGTGTTTTACGGGGGTTACCTGTACAGTATGACATCAGGAGGAGAGAGAAAGGAGGACAAGTGGTGGTTCAAGTAATTGGACATTCAGTTAATCAGAGTTTTACTATATGTATAATAATTAGAGTTAGGACATCTAGGCACTAAAACTAAAATGAAAACATGAAAATGATTTTTATGATTTTTTTTTAATGCCTAAAAATGTTCTAGTTCTAATAATATAATAATATATAAGAGCAGTGTGACTTCTATGCAGAATTTCAGTAATGGGAAATGTATATTCCCAATTTATGTTTCTTTCTCTAGCTACTACCTTCACACACTGATACTTCTCTTGTTGTTTTGGTAACAATGCTATGCCTGTAGAACGGAAGTTTTTTGGTTGCATCATAGTCATTTCATAACAAACTTAACAAACTCTTTCTATATTCTATATTCTAATTCTATAATAATTCTATTCAAATCTATTTATTTTATAACAAATAAATAAATAACATCAATGAGTACATCACAAATGCCAACAACTGTTTACAACTTTATAACAAATAAAATAAATAAATAAACAGTTGTTGGCATTTGTGATCTAGATGGTAACAGTTCAGTGTTCTAGGTCAGGGGTTGGCAACCTGCGGCTCGCGATCCACATGCGGCTCTTTGGATGTGAAGCTGCAGCTCTTTAGTTCCATACGCAAATATTATTTATTTTATCAAAAAAAAAAAAAAAAAAATTTAAAAATCGTTCTGAATCGATTAACAAGGATTCGGCACTGATTCTATCTCTCAGCCACTTGTACTCGCTTTTCATCGCAACCCTCCCCTGTGACACGCGCCGTCACTGTCGTCAGTCCGTCGGAAACTCTCAAATGACGCCGTCGTCGGATGTTTCTATGAAGTTTAATTCGCTTTCGACGCAAGACAATTCTGAATAAATAGATTCGTTTTTTTTTTATCAAAAAACTTTATTTATGCGAGTACTATTTATTGTTGGCAAGAAAAAATTTTGTGGCTCTTTAAAAACTTTGAAATTTTGTAAATTGTAATTTTTGGCTCTTCCGACTCAAAAGGTTGCCGACCCCTGTTCTAGGTGAATGTCCTGTTTCTCAGAGCTTCCTTCAAAGTGTCAAACAGGTGATAATTCATGGTGACAGATCAAGACTATAGGTCAGGTGATTCAGAATCTCTCAATCAAGTCCACTGATTGCCTCCTCAATATGGAGAACCATACAGAGATATCATCATTGCCAAAATGATGGGAGGAGTGTCATCATGTGGAGGGCATACCTAGAAAAAAATAAATAAATTGGGACTATATAACACATAATCCCATCACTGTTACTGAAATTTTGAACAAAGTTTAACTGCCTTGTATATATATAAATACAGGTATACCTCGCCATAGGTCGGTAATTGGTTCCAGGAAAACGACTTAAGTCGAAAACGACATAAGTCGAATTTACTTGTCTCCGAATCTACTTGTCACTAGGCTAAACCGTAAATTACCATTCCCAGTTCTGTATTTTATTTATTAATGCATTTTTAATAATATATGGTTAATAAGAATCTATTTTAAGCTTACAAACAAATAAATTTTAGTTTTTAATAGAGTACAGAACAAAAGTAATCTAAATTTACAAATGCATGTACTGTACTGTAAATACAGTACATACTTGTAAATGTATATATTTTAATATGATTTTATGTGCTTTAAACGCTTTTCTAGTGATATTACGACTTCAATATTTGTGGCGGACGGACGTAAAGTCGAATAAAATGACTTAAACTTGATTTTTATTTTTCCGTATACTTTTTTGACAAACGACGTATAATCGGGAACGACGTAACTCGAAACGACGTAAGTCGAGGTATACCTGTATATATTACATTCAGTTTTGTATTCAAATGTAATCATATCTATACAATCATATTCATACAAATTAGAGGGTGTGTATGGGTACATGCACGCATGTGCTCTTTGTAAATACAGAAGAATCTGCTTAATGCAGTGATTGTGGTTCTCAAACTGTGAGATACAAGACCCTTTCTAACAGATGCAAAAATATTATGTAGTAATGACTACAGTATAGTCATACTGTACACACACTGTACTGTATTGTACAACATACACTACAATATACATACCTGCAAATATATATATATATATATATATACATTTAAATGTGTATGAAAAATAACATAATAGTTTATGATCTCTGAGAAAATTTAATGGACAAGAAAAATGATAAAAATCAGTTTTCAGTAATTCTATAATAATTCTATTCAAATCTATTTATTTTATAACAAATAAATAAATCACATCAATAAATATATCACAAATGCCAACAACTGCTTATAACTTTACAACTGTTTACAACTTTATAACAAATAAAATAAATAAATAAACAGTTGTTGGCATTTGTGATCTAGATGGTAACAGTTCAGATTTAACAGATTGTGTTGCATTTTAAGATTAAAATTTAATAACAATAACAATAAAGTACTTACTTCATTTAATCAATCTTAATGAAATAATAAATGTAAAAATGTATGTTTACTAAACCAAACTTTAAGACTATAAGACAGGCATGGGCAACTTTTCTATAGTAAAGGGGCAAAATACAATGTTTTGATGAGTCGAGCCAAAACATCAGATTTTTTGTAAATGATTTTATGTAAGATTATAATACACATAAACAATAAAATTATAAACGAAAATATTAGTATTAACTTAATTTCATAGAGTACTTTATCAATGCAACCTCATTGCCAGTTTTTCATTATTTAGGGAACCTTAATGTTGCCACTTAATTATTAAACTGGTTAATTAGTTGGCAATTTACACACGACCGTATAAACTTTTTAAAGGAAACAGTATGGTAACGAATTTTCAAATTTATCACTTGTAGCTCATAAGCTTTGTTCAGTGGAGACGTGGATTTATTGTAAATTATTCATAACGTAAATAAGGATCTTAATAGTATGAGATTCATGTGCCCATGCCCGATGTAAGACAATAAACATCGAGATGGATATAGTATCTTAATAATGTAAACAAATCACAGAGAGAAACGGCATGACACTATAAATAACGTATCTAATATCAACGAAAACGTTTCATTCGAAAGATTAACCGATTATTATTTAATTGAAAATAAATTGCATTAATAAATTTTACTTAATTTTATTCATAAACAATATAGAAGTTCAAACGAAAGCTTGATGATTCATTTCTGAAATAATCTGAAATTAAAGTTATTAAACATACATACGGCTCAATTAAATAATTTTATATACACATTTTCCTCCATTTGCAATTACCACTAGAACGCGGAGAGTAAACCTTGATGTAGAAACGCACGAGTCTAATTTCTTACAGCCAATCGTAATCGACGATATATGCACCAATCAATAGGCATGAAAGATAATTTCATTGTATTAGCGAAGGAAATGAACTATAGAGGGCAGTTCGGTCTTAACAATATGGCGGCTAAAAGTAGTAATAAACATATACAAACCCAATGATAATAAACAGCTATTAGGCATGTCAATAATATTTCTATATAAAAAGAATTAGTTATTAAAAATTATACATATAACTAACACCTTATCCTTGCCGAGAAATATAATTTATTTCAAACAAACGTTTTCAGCCTGATTCACAGGCCATCTTCAGGTTGAGAACCAAATTTGAATTAAAGGATTCCATTAATGGAATACAAAATTAAATAACCAACAGAGTAACATAAAATAAAAATGTAAAAAATGTACATAGAAGTATTAAGAAATACAATTACTAACACATCCAATAAAATTACTATTTTGACTGGTTAGAGCTCTTATTAAATTTCTTAACTATAAACTTCCATGCAGAGGAAAGACTTTCTGCATCCCTCGCATTTAAACAGCCTTCCTGTATTTTACTCCTATAAATCTGCAACTTTTCAGCTGTCAACGCCAAAGATGGGGAAGATAAAGGTTCTATGATGGCTGCCGCATTCCATTTGACTACAGATCCTGGTGTTTGCGCCATTTGGGACAAAATTGTTGCATTAGACACCTTTCTGATATTATAACTATGTTCCTTGATTCTAAGTCCCAAACTCCTGATGGTTACTCCAATAGAGTCTTTTTTAACGCCCAATTGCATATTCTCATAAGGAATTCTATAAACCCCTGCTTTCTCCTCTGACATTATAGCATCCTTATCATTTCTGAGGATTTTGTATAAATTAGGGGCCCTTTTTATCAGCATTCTCGAACCTTTTTTGTGAGCAATCTCTTTGATAACGCTATTCATACTTTCATTATATGTAAATTTTACAATTCCAGTGGGAGCATTTTTAAGACCCTTTTCTTGATGTTTGCTTCATACTTCCTAACCATTCCCAGAATTGCGCTTTTTCGGTAACCTAGGGTCTTGGCCACGCTCATTATTCTATTTATTTCTTTACTCCTGTCTTGTACTGTTTCACAATACAAAAATGCCCTTCTTATTAAAGTATTAGAAAGCNTTCTCATAAGGAATTCTATAAACCCCTGCTTTCTCCTCTGACATTATAGCATCCTTATCATTTCTGAGGATTTTGTATAAATTAGGGGCCCTTTTTATAAGCATTCTCGAACCTTTTCTGCGAGCAATCTCTTTCATAACGCTATTTATACTTTCATTATATGTAAATTTTACGATTCCAGTGGGAGTATTTTTAAAAGACCCTTCTTGTTGTTCGCTTCATACTTCCTAACCATTCTCAGAATTGCGCTTTTTCTGTAACCTAGGGTCTTGGCCACGCTCATTATTCTATTTATTTCTTTGCTTCTGTCTTGTACTGTTTCACAATACAAGAACGCCCTTCTTATTAAAGCTCTGAAAGCTGCAATTTTATACTTATACGGATCCTTGGATTGGGAGGGAATATACAGTGGGCTGTGGGATGGTTTAATAAAAACGCTAGTGGACAGATGGCCTTTTTTGAATTTAATACCGATGTTCTGCTCCAATCTTAAAGTAAGGCCATCATTGTTATCACTGATCTTATCGAAAAAATCCTTAATCCTGATCTAGCTGAAGTCCATAAGAATTCTACTTGTATTTATGTAAAGAAATTAAAATGGATTATGCATAAACAAAAGGTTAGAAATACCAAGAGAAACCTTATTGCTTTCCACGTATGGGACCAAATAGAAATACCGGCAAGGATCAAGGAGCTTCTAGAAAAAGGCCCAAATTTTGTTCCAGCGGATGCTATGAGTTGGGAAACCTCCGTACAGGAAATTGAAAGGGGCATTGTTGGGCTAGATGATTTAGAAAAGGAGTACTCCAGATGGAAAGCAGTCTTTAACAACAGGCAGAGAAACCAAACGCAAGGTATTAGAATCAGTGACATCCAACTCACTAAGAATTGGTTAAAGCACAATGATTTGGTGTTGACTAGGGCTGATAAAAGTAAACAACTGGTCATCATGAAAAGGCACACTTATAACAAAGCACTAATGGATTACATCGAAAAGACAGAGTGTGAAAGTGTCAACAGCAAGATTATTGGAAGTTTGGATAGAAGAGTCAGGAAACTAGAGGTCTCTAATCTTTCCAGAGCTTTGCCTTTTCTCAAAAAATGCAGGAACCCTAGAGCTGGAACACCTAGGCTGTTTGCTTTCGCTAAGGTACATAAAATCGGTAAAGAAATAAGACCGGTTGTATAGAAATGCAAGGGTTGTAGAGAAATGCAAGGGAGAAATGCAAGGGTTTGTATTAGAAAAGAAGTTGCATGAGTATTTATCCTCCCAGCTGGACACGGATACTCTAGTTGCGCCTGATCCTATGAAAGTGGTCAAAGATCTGCAAAATATTACATTAATGGAAGATGAAGTTGCAACTGTTTTCAACTATGAGAACATGTATCTTTTAGTAAAGATAGAATCATGAGAGAAGGCACTTTTGGATTTCTTATACGGCAAGAACTCGGAGTTGCTTAGTTCTGCCGAGGAAGTAGAGGGTATGGCTAGATTGGTGTGTCGTGAATCTTGTTTTGCTTTTAATGGGCAGATCTACAGACAGAGAAGAGGGGTCCCTATGGGAAGCCCGCTCTCGGGGATCCTATGCGAATTGGTAGTTAGAAGACTGGAAAGAAGAATTTTTCATGATTTTAAGGGGGATGTCATTTATTTTAGTAGATACGTCGATGACCTACTTATATTATGGAGAAATAATAGCAGGATTAAGGATTTTTTGGATAAGATCAATGATAACAATGATGGCCTTACTTTAAGATTGGAGCAGAAGAGTTCCTTGGAGCTACATTTTCTAGACATCGGTATTAAATTCAAAAAAGGCCATCTGTCCACTAGCGTTTTTATTAAACCATCCCACAGCCCACTGTATATTCCCTCCCAATCCAAGGATCCGTATAAGTATAAAATTGCAGCTTTCAGAGCTTTAATAAGAAGGGCGTTCTTGTATTGTGAAACAGTACAAGACAGAAGCAAAGAAATAAATAGAATAATGAGCGTGGCCAAGACCCTAGGTTACAGAAAAAGCGCAATTCTGAGAATGGTTAGGAAGTATGAAGCGAACAACAAGAAGGGTCTTTTAAAAATACTCCCACTGGAATCGTAAAATTTACATATAATGAAAGTATAAATAGCGTTATGAAAGAGATTGCTCGCAGAAAAGGTTCGAGAATGCTTATAAAAAGGGCCCCTAATTTATACAAAATCCTCAGAAATGATAAGGATGCTATAATGTCAGAGGAGAAAGCAGGGGTTTATAGAATTCCTTATGAGAATATGCAATTGGGCGTTAAAAAAGACTATATTGGAGTAACCACCAGGAGTTTGGGACTTAGAATCAAGGAACATAGTTATAATATCAGAAAAGAGTCTAATGCAACAATTTTGTCCCAAATGGCGCAAACACCAGGATCTGTAGTCAAATGGAATGAGGCAGCCATTATAGAACCTTTATCTTCCCCATCTTTGGCGTTGACAGCTGAAAAGTTGCAGATTTATAGGAGTAAAATACAGGAAGGCTGTTTAAATGCGAGGGATGCAGAAAGTCTTCCCTCTGCATGGAAGTTTATAGTTAAGAAATTTAATAAGAGCTCTAA